CCCCAAGAAGAGCCTCCGTGATCTTCCCGTGACGGTGTATAATGTGTTCCCGGGCCCAGCACGCGACTTTCAAATCGGCTTACAATTTATCTGCAGCTCGGATAAAAACATTTTAATGACTGTGTGCGGCACGAACCCTTGGTGTCACCCACGGGGCTCCCGAATGTGTGTCCCCACCACATCGCAGGGATGTTATAGGCGTGAAATTACAGCCGCTCTCGCATTTTGATCTCCACCCGGAGGGCTCTGGCAACGGCGTGTTAGAATGCGCTGGATGCAGACGCGGTGATGGCAGACCGGGGTGCCTGGCTCTCCGGCAGAACTGCTTTGTGTTTTTGATGCAGTGGGGCCCTGAGCTGTACCCAGCTCCTTGGCTTCCCGCGCTCCCACTGTTCTGGGACGCTTCCCTGTGACCCCCAAATTGGGGAGGGGCTATCTTGCCCCACTGTTGGCTGCCACGGTCCTTAGAGCCCCTAGTGACACAAAGGAGACTCCAGCTTTCAATGACGTCCACTGGCTCGGAAAGAGGGTCTTTGTGTGCATATGTGACAAGAAAGGGTCTACGCAATGTCACAGACAGGCCAACACAACGAGTAGATTGTAATTTTTGAAACCCGTCTTGAAATATATTTAACAGAGAGGTTCACGGAGGGGGGGAGGGAGTAACACAATTTTAAGCCTTTCTAATTGTGCCTGACGTTTAACTGACGTGACCACTGTTTGTCCTAAGAGATACTGTTTATTGAGTGCTCGGAATGTGCCAGACCCTGGGCTCAGAACATTCTGTTCTATGAATTATCTCATTTACTTCTCCCAGCCCTGGCCGAGTCACTTCTTTCTCGGAGCCTGGGTCTGTGCAGCGGGCACAGCACAGTTTCTGCCTCTCAGGCTGCTGCGGCCGCTGGATTACAGGAGAGAGCACGGGAAGCTTCCTCATCCTCAGCCCACTGTCTCTCCCAGCCCTCCCTCACCATTCTCGACCTTAGTGAGCCACAGAAGCTGTGCTGCTCCGGGGCAGGGACAGCCACAGGCCCAGAGCAAATCCTTTCCTTTCCCTGAGCCTCAGTCTCTCCATCTGTGAATTGGGAATAATTGTGTAACCCCGGCCCTGAGGGCTGTGGTGAGGATGGCATGAAATGCTCCACGGAAAGCACGTTGGAATTGGCACAAAGCAGCTAAGTGTGAGGTGTGGCAGTCATCAGCAAAGCTGGGATATATCCTGGCTCCTCCCCCGGGCGCGTGGTGCCAGGAGAAGCGGACGCTCAGAGAGGAGGCCAAGAGAGAGGCAGAGGCCAGGTGCCCGCCACCCCCAGAAACTGGGCAGAGCTGGGCCCCTCTCCAGGGACTCAGTGCACAGAGCTGTGACATTCATTTCTCAGACTGGCTCACAGCTCCTCGGAGTCATGAATCGTGGACCAGACTTCTCCGTGCCGGGGCTGAAACCAGGGGCAAGAAAGAGGCAGCCACAGCCGTGCCCAAGAGCGGGCCGCCAGAGACAGAGAAAATCAAGACAGTAAAGTCTGACCTACAAACTTTTGGCTGCCTCGTGCTGGGCTGGGTGTTTGGCAAACTTCATCTAATTTAAACCCACAGCCATCCTAGGAGGTAGGCATTTTTATCCCTATTTCACAGATGGGGAAACTGCGGCCCAAGGAGGCTACGAACACAGTGATGGATGTGGGATTCGGACCGAAACCTGTGTGTCCTTAACTTGAATGCTAAAGGGATGGGGGCATTCTCCTGTGTCTGGGGTAAGGGGAGGTGAGAACTGGAAGGAGGAAGGAGAATATATTTGTTCATGGACAAGAGTATAGACACAGCTGTAGATATATAGATAAATATATTGATGTAGATATCAATATAGACGTACACTGAATTAGTGTTTTTTGAATACTTAGAGGTTTAGACTAGTGTTCTCAGAGTGCGGTCCCTGGACCTGCAGCATCAGCATCACTGGGAACGTGTGAGAAATGCAGATTCCCAGGCCGTGCCCAGATCTGCTGAGTCAGGGGCTTTGGAGGTGGGCCCAGCAATCTGCATCTTCAGCAGCCCCCAGGCGGTTCTGATGCACGCCCGAGTTTCAGAGCCCCTGCTTTAGACCACAGGCTTTGGCCTCAGATGGCTGTTATGACCCTAGACGAGTCACTTCCCCTCCCTGAGCCTCGGTCCCTCATATTCCGGGGATTATAACATCTGCCGCCTCACAGGGCTGGCGCCAGGATTCTACAGGATAATGCGCGTGAGGCCAGAAGCTCACGCACTGTCAGGCACGCGCCAGGGAGGGACAGTAGCTACGGCGTCAGCTTAGCTGTGGGCTTAGCGAGTATGGGTGAGCCTGCCCCACCAGGGGATAGCTGGGCTGAGGACACCAATGACAAGCACAATGACCTGTGAGCAGTGGGGTCAGTCAGAGGATTGGCCGAGATGGGTGGGTGCTATTTCGGGGAGAATCCTGCCCAGGATGCCCTGAGTTTCCAGAGGTCAGAGCCTTACCCTGAGTCTGGGGGCACTGGGGGGAGGGCGGAGGATGTGCCCCTGGCCCCGCCCCTCCCTGGTCCCTCCTGGCAGCCTCAGCCTCCTGCTGAGTAACTGGGATCAGTCAGCTGTCCGCCCCATCCCCAGACGGCTGCCACTTCTCCATCGGGAGGAACCTAGAGGCTCACAGTCTCCCGCTCTGCAGACAGTGAGACGGAGGAACGAAGCCTCAGCCAGCCGAGCCACGGGCAGCAGAGAAGCCGGGCCTTTCCAGAGTACATTGCCCTGCTCAGCCAGGACCACAGGCCAGCTGTGCAGCCCAGGTGGGTCCCATGAGACCTCTCTGTCCCCTCAGCATCCTTGCCCAGCAGGTGGGGTGACAGACTCACAGATGCCAGAGCTGGGAGAGAGTTTAGGATTATCATCATTGTATGAAGGTGGAAACTGAGGCCACAGAGGGACAGTAACCTGCTCGGGGACCTTTGGTGAATTAGTGAGGATCGTGGGCCTCATGGAGGAGTTGGCTTTGAGGACCATGTCCTTGCTCACAGGCACAACAGAACGAAGCCTCAGCTGGAGTGTCTACACTACCTCCAGCAGAGCTACAGACCTGACCCGGGAATCAAGATGCCTGGGTTCTGGCCCCAACACTGAACTGCCTGATATCATAGGAAGATTTTGTGATCCCAGCTGTGTGACCTTAGGCAAGTTACTTGCTTTCTCTGTGCTTCCATATCTGCATCTGCGAAATGGGGACAATAATACTAGTACCTGCCCTCGGGTTGGTTGTGAGGACTAAATGACATAACGTGGAAAGCGCCCAGCCCAGCAGCCTCCGAGGGGCCCTCCCTCAGTCCCCACCCTAACCCAGCTGCCACCCCACCTACCGTCACTGTTAATCTCATTCATTACCCTGCTTGATTTTCTTCCCCGTATTTATCACTATCCACAATCATCTCATTATTCATCCTGCACTGGGTGCAAACTCCCCGAGGACAAAGACGTTGTCCTGTTGGGGGCGTGTGGCCAACCCCTGGTACACAGTAGGTGCTCCATAAATACCTGATGAATAAATAATGCGTACACGTCCCTCATCAGACTGGAGCCCCTGATGGCACAAACGGAGTTGTGTTCTTCACCGGGTTCCCTGGTGTGACCAGCTCAGGGCCGGGCGCCCAGAATGCCCCTTGTCCATATATTCCAGGAGCCGCTCAGGGAGGTGGTGGCTGCAAGAGGCGGGGTTTCCCTGACACCGCCACCTCCCCACCGTGCCCGTCCCCCAGGTAGCAGAACACACCACGTGCTGCCACTGCGGGAATCAATGTCCCTCCGGAGGTCTGGCCTTTGGAGGTTTTCAATTTCCCCAGAAGCCGCGGCTTTCCACGGGGCCTTTATCCTTTCATTGATTGCCCGAGGACGGCAAGCTTTGTTTCCCTGGTAAATATCATTTGATAAGAAAATCAGAGAACACGGGGCCTGGAGTTGAAGCCAAGTCCCTAGAACTCTGGCAGCGGAATCCAAGAGCGTGCCTGACAAGAGCTCAGCACTGGCAGGGGCTTCCAAGACCACATGGAGCAAAGCCCTTGTTTTTACAAATGGGGAAACTGAGGCTGGGGTGGGGGACACAGCCAGCCAAAGACAGACACCAGCATTATTACCCCCATTTTGCAGATGTAGAAATTGAGGCACAGATGAGGGGTCAGAACCCAGGAGCCCTGACACCCAGCCCAGCGCACCTGCTAACGCATCACTCACCACTTCAACGTCTCGGGACAGGCCTGGGGAGGTCCCAGGGGCACATGTGGCCGGGTCAGAATCATGCTCTCTGCAGCAAGTGTGCATCACTGCTGAGACGCTGTCTCAGACCTCCCCACTGGGGGGTGCTCCTAGACTGTCCTCCCCCCCAGGGGAGCACTCACCCCCACTGCACTTTCCCCGTGGGTGTTTCTATGAATGTGGCTCTTGGCTTCAGCCTGGGGAAGTTGCCCACACGGCTGCTCCCACAGTGCCTAGGACCTCCCTCCCTGTGTCCCCACCGGGTCACAGAGCCTGGAGCTCAGTGGTCCACGAATGATCCACTAGGCCTGCATCCCGCACCAATCTTACAGAAGTGGAAACTGGGGCCCAGGGATGTGACCGTCTGCCGCCCCTCGGGAAGCTCTCGTCACTCCTCCAGGTCCTCATTCATTCCAATCAACGTGTCGGAGCCCCTCCAAGTGCCCGGTCCATGAGCATCCAGGGACGAGGCAAGGCCCTGGCTTCTGGGGTCAGGGTATCAGTGCTAGTAGGAGAAGGGGTTCCCGAGAACAAATCCTTGGTTGGGAAGGCCACACGGGTGACACGTTGGCACGGCCAGCCTCCTGCCCCTGGAGGGCAAGGGTGGGAATGAAGAGCGTCCACTGCCAGAACCACAGGCATTTTGGCAGGTGGTTCCCAGGACAGCCCCTCTGTGCAGTGTGCACGCACACACACGCACACACACAGAGCTCCTCATCGTGATGCTGGGGCTGGGGCCCCGCACTCACCCATGACGTTGAGGAAGATGTTGCCGGATGCCAGGACCACCTTCTCTCTCGTGGCGCGGTCGTAGATGCCCACATGGCACTCGTAGGGACCGTTGTCCGAGACGCGGACCTCGGGCAGCCTGGGGGGAGGTGGAGGAGAAGGGTGAGGGCCCATCATCGGGGCTGGAAGGTGCAGCTTCCAGAAAACCAACCCCAAAGCCCCACTGGTCAGCCTTCGCTCGACAAACGCTCCTTGATCGACCACATGCCCGTGTGCTGTGCTGGGAGGAGAAGCAACATTTATGGAACACCGACTGTATGCCAGGCCCTGTGCTTGGCGCTTCAGAAGGGGAAGCTGTGGGCTGTGTGTTCAGCTGGAGTTAAATCTGTGCTCCTTGTGGCTTCCAAGAACTGGGGCTGGTGACGGTGCCTACCCCCAGGGGGCCCTGAGGATGACGTGGTTAAGAGGCACCTGGCGTGTGGGACAGGCTCAAAACTGTTACCCTGCGCATGACCTCGCCCATCCCTCAGGGCCACCCTCCACACAGGAGGAGGATCGCTATTCCCATTTCAGAAACATGGAGCCTGAGGCTCCGGAGGGGGCTGTGTTGCCCCCGCCCCTAATATGGCTAATAAGAGCCAGGATGGGAACTTGAATTCCTCTTTCCACTCTGCCTTCTGTCACTTTATGCCCAGTCCTGGGGACTTGAGGAGAAATACAGTAAAATTTCTGTCTCCAAGGAGCCCCTTCCCAGTGCACAAGGAGGCAGAGAGTTGATCAGTGCTCCAAATCATGAGGAAAAGGGTGAGCTTATCCCAGTACAGAACACGGAGCAGCTGGTTCTGCCTGAGGTGGTCAGGAGGGCTTCTCGGAGGAGGTGACCCATCAGGATGGGAGAGACCCCCTCAAACCTTCTGGACCTTTCCTCCCAAATGCCAGAGACTAAATATTTTAGACTTTGTTGCTCTTAACGGTCTCTGTCACAACTATTCAACTCTGTCCTTGTAGAGCAAAAGCAGCCACAGTATGTAAGCAAATCAGTATGGCCGTGTTCCAATAAAACCTTATTTATAATCATTGAAATTTGAATTTCACATATTTTCATGTGCCATGAAATCTTCTTCTTCTTCTTCTGTTTTTATTTCTTCCAAACCATTTAAAAATCTATGAAACATTCTTAGTTTACAGGCTGTTAAAAAACAGGCTAGATTGGCTCCACAGGCTGTAGTTTGATGATTCCTGTTCTAGATCCTTCTACAGGGTCAGACCACGCTAAAAGTGAGTGGGTTCTCTCTCCCTGTGGAAAATGCCAACAGGGCAGCTCTTTCCTCCCTCCTGCCCTGAAGGAGCCTTGACATGGGGTCAGAGAGAGCCAAGTTCCAATCCTGCCCCTGCTATTGGTGGGCGAGGTGACCTTGTGTAAGTCACGCCGTCTCACTCTGAGCCTAGCCGTCTTTTTATCTAAAATATGGCACTGATGCTTCACAGGACGGCAGGGAGAATTAAATGTGACGATGTCACTGCAAGACCTCTGTCAGCAGCAAAGTCGCATTAGATGGACGAAGGACCATCACTGTTGTTCCTTCACCCCGTGAAGCCTCGCGGGGAGTAGGAATGCCTGGCAAGTGGGATCTGGACACTTCAAGGGGAAGAGCCTTGACCTGGAGGTACAGAGGCTGGGCTGCTGCTGCCTCAGGGAGTCTGTGTGCCCTCCAGCAAGTTCCAGCCTTCTCTGGGCCTAATCATGCCGTCAAAGGAGAGCCTATTCCCGCCAAAACTTAGAGGAAGTGGGGTCTCTGTGTTTGGGTCCTGGAGGTTCTCACGCTGCAGCAGAAAACCGAGGGAAGAAGTTCATACTCACGGAACCCCTAGTAAATGCCAGGCACGGCGCCCTACCCGCCAAACTGGCCCAACAGTCCTATCCGAGAGACCCCGGTGGGGGAAAAGAGGGCTGTGGTTAGGGGCACAGGCTCTGGGTCTGAGTCCCAGCCCTGCCACCCCGAGAAGGGAGGTTCCTTTAATCCAGTTCTTCATTCCCACCCCCTCGTGGACACATTTCCACTCAATTCAGCTAAGCCTCTCTCCCATCTGTTTCTGCTGAGCAATCTAACTGCAGATTCACTCTTTTCCTCTCTCTCAGTTCAGCTGTCCCCCCATCTTTGTCTTCCAGCTCCTTTTCCCTCATGACTCACTGTCCCCCACCTCCCTCCCCCTCGCCCCCCACACACCTGGGCTCTCAGCCTCTCTTTCCCTCACTGTTGTGCTGTTGCCTCTGGAGCCAGCCCCTCTAAGGCTCCCCCTTCCCTCCCACCACCCAGCACACATTAGCATAAACAAACACCTTCATTTACATAGAATACACAGAGGTTGACATCTGGTCTACTGACTGTCACGGAAGGACTTAAGGAACAGGGAGCTTTTCATTAGGGAGACTTTGTGGGGAAGAAGCTGCCTCCCTCTCCTCCCCAGTCTCAGAAGAGAGTGGTGACAGCGGAGCCAGCAGTGAACTGTCTCCTCCGGGAACTGTTTCCTTTGTTTGTAACTCAGCTGGCCGGAAAAAATAGCCTCTCCATCGGGCACCGTTGCTGAGTGACAGAAACCCGGAGTGACATGTTTAGGGGGCACTCAGGGGTGTCAGTTATAGAGGCGACCTGCTTAAGTCACTTGTGTAGGTGACAGGTGTGCAGGTGACACTCTCCGGTGACAGCTCCATAAAGAAACAGGCTCAGGGGACGTGTGTAGCTGGCAGCTACCCAGGTGATGTAATAAGATGATAATGGTTGACACACAGGTGGAAATGTACAGGTAACCGCTACATAGGTGATATATGCAGAAGATGTGATTATGTGATAGCAACACAGGTGACATGTTTAGGCAATTGCTACACTGAGGATATGCTCAGGTGACAGTAACATAAGCAATATGTTTGGGTGACACCTGTAGGTGACACAACACAGGTGGTATAGAAGATAGCTCAGGGGACACCTGGATTGGTGCTTTATGAAGAAGGCAGCTTCCCACTTAGGACAATTTCCACAGCCTCAGATGCTCTTCTGCTGGGTTCCCCAGCTCCACAAATGGTCCTGCCCTCCACCATTGGTCCGATCACACCCCTGGGCACCATCCTTGATATCTCCCACCTCTATACTCTCCACATACAGTCAGTGACCAAGCCCTAAATATATTCTGAACTATCCCTTTCCCCCCATCTCCACTGCCACCACCTTTTCTCACCTGGAATGTGGAAGTGGGCAGTTCACTAGTTTTTCTGCCCTGCTCATCTCCCTCCTAATCCATTCTCCAGGTAGAACCCTGATCTTTTCAAATGCACATGGTTGATGGTACTTCCCTACGTAAAGCTCTTCAAAGGCTTCTCTCTGCTCTTAGGTCAAAGACCAGAATCCTTGGCCAACAAGGCCCAGGAGGGTTGGCTCCTGCCACATCTCCAGCCACATCTCAGACTCCCCTTCCTCCAGCTACGATGGCTTTCTTTCCATTCCTCCCATGTGCCAAGTTCCTTTTTTTAAAGCAATTTTTAAATTTTGGAATCATTTTAGATTTACAGAAAAGTTGCACAGAGAATAGAGAATTCCCATACACCCCTCACCCAGTTTCCCCCATTCTTAACGTCTCACATGACCATGGTTCAGTTGTCAGACGAAGAAACCGACATTGATATAGCACTATTAACCCCAGACTTTATCCAGATTTCACCAGTTTTTCCACTAATGTCCTTTTTCTGTTCCAGAATCCCACCCAGGATCCCTCATAGGTGACACTCATGGGTGCATTTAGCCAAGTTCCTTTTTTCATTCAGCACTTCTGCCTGCAATATCCTCTCTTCCTGAGAATATTGCACTTTCTTTCCCTGGTTGCGTCCTTCAAGTTACAAAGGAATGGTCACTTTCTCAGTGACAACCTGGACTAGGTGGGTGTGGTAGGTTGATCGTACTGATGGCCTGGATTAACAGCCTCCCTGTATCTGCGCCTCCTATGCCTTTACAGCTCTTGCATCCAGGGGTGGAGTCTAGTTCCCCATTCTTGGCCTTGTGATTTGATTTGCCCAACAGTATGTGGTGGAAGTGATGGTGTATAAATTCCAAGCCTCAGTCTCAAAAGCACTCTCTCCCTTTCTCCCGCCTCTGCCCTGAGAACTAGCTTCTGATGGAGGATGAGAGCACGTGGAGAGAGGATCCAGGTGGCCCTGCCGTTCCAGCCAAGGCCACACTCAGGAGTGAGCCCAGCCAACCCCTGGACTCGTGAGCAATAAGCAACGGTTGTTGCTTTAAACCATCCAGGTTTGGGACGGCTTGTTACACAGCAATAGCTAACTGATACAGCAGGTCTCCTCATAGCTCTCCTTAGCAGTCTTTGTCTGAATTGTAATTTAAGAGCTTATGTTTGTGACTCTCAAATGTCCTCTTTCCCCACTCCATGCACACACAGTAAGCTCCACGAAGGCAGGGTCTGCAGCCATTTGGTACCAGTGTGTCCCAGGGCCCTGAGCAGTGCTCGCCATCATGGTGGGGACTCAATCAATATTTATTCAATGAATGGAGGGGAGACCTTCCCGGAGGCTGTGGTGTGAGCAGGCAGAACCTTGTCTCCCTCTGGGCTGGAAACCAGGTGCAGCCCCTGCCCACCCAAGGAAGATTCTGGTTCCCATCTGCAGATCCAACAGCTTCCAGGTCCAGCCTGGATTTGGACCAATCTGCCTCTTCTCAGCACCCCATCTGAGCTTGTGTCTTCACTGTTATCCTTCTGAAGTGGATGGAGTGGCCAAGACCCCCTTTCCCCAGACTTGAATGGCACTGATCCGCATAGCGGATAGAAGGCCTTCCGCAGATGGCGGGGCCCCGAGGGGCTCGGGTTGAGGAGACCCCCTCTCATCAGCAATGGGCTGCGGTCAATAGACTATTAATAACTGCAGAGGTTTCTGGAGAGATGAGTGTGATGCAGTATAGCGGCTGGAGTTTACCAGCACTGACAGTGGCTCTGCAGGGCGAGTAACTGTGTTTTTGCAAAGCTCGGCACAGAAACAGCAGGGACCCCCTTGGCAGTCCCTGTGGCCCCCATGGCTCAGGTGAGGCCATGCAAGGGCTAGTCACTGGGGCTTCTGCCAGGCCCGGGGCTGGGACT